AGAGGTGGTAGGTCATTCCACAGGCTGGGAGCAGCTACAGGCAAGAAAGTCATTGAATCTTGGGGCCATGCTGTAGGAAGGTTTCATATATTTCTTGAATTAAAATTTATAGAGAACTTCACATAAAGTTAAAATAGAACTTTAAAAATACCATCAGATGTTCCACTGCCAGTGTCTTAGTTCCCACCAATGTAAGCATTTTTCTGTTTGCAATAGACTAATTTTTTAAATTGTCCAGAGAAGTATCTAATATCATCTATCATAGAAAAGATCCAATACTTTGGCCACCTGATGTTGAGAGATGACTCATTAGAAGAGACTCTAATACTGGGAAAGATTGGAGGCAGGAAGAGAAGGGGATGACAGAGGATGAGATGGTTGGATGGCATCACCGACTCAATGGACATGAGTTTGGGCAAACTCCGGGAGCTGGTGATGGACAGGGAGGCCTGGCATGCTGCAGTTCATGGGGTCACAGTCAGACATGAGTGTGTCTGAACAAAAACAATCGTAGCAAAGGGCTTCCCAGGTGGTAAGAGTGGTAAAGAACCCATCTGCCAATGCAGGAGACCTAAGATACATGGGTTCGATCCCTGGATGGGGAAGATCCCCTGGAGGAGGGCAGGGCAACCCTCTCCAGTAGTCTTGCCTGGACAATCCCATGGACAGAGGAACCTGGTGGGCTCCAGTCCATAGAGTGGAAAATAGTTGGAATTGACTGAAGTGACTTAGCACAGACAAACATCATGGGGATGTGAGCACTGCTTCCCTGGTGGCTCAGATGGTAAAGAAACTGCCTGTGTTTAATTTAAAAGAGGGCCAGTTTAAGACCAGGCTGAAGACAAAGCCAAGGAAAGTTAAATAAAAACAAGAATAGCAGAGAGGGATGGTCTTGCACCTAAAATTCTGATTGCAACACATAATATATGCCTGGGTTGTAAGAATGGGAGATGAAGAAGGCAGCCCACTCATAGTAGTGAGAAACACTGCAGAAAATTGTAATGGTATGTTCTTACAACCTTGGAATCATATGGCATACATCAGTTCAGTTGCTCGGTTGTGTCCGACTCTCTGTGACCCCATGGAGTGTAGCATGCCGGGCTTCCCTGTCCAACACCAACTCCTGGAGCTTACTCAAACTCATGTCCATCAAGTCGGTGATGATATCCAACCATCTCATCCTCTGTCGGCCCCTTCTCCTGCCTTCCTTCAATCTTTCCCAGCATCAGGGTCTGTTCCAATGAATCAGTACTTCACATCAGGTGGCCAAAATATTGGAGTTTCAGCTTCAGCATCAGTCCTTCCAATGAATATTAAGGACTGATTTCCTTTAGGATTAATGGTTTGATCTTCTTGCAGTCCAAGGGACTCTCAATAGTCTTCTCCAACACCAGCATCAATTCTTCAGCATTCAGCTTTCTTTACAGTCCAATACTCACATTCATACATCCATGGTTTTATGTATTCTGCTCTGTTAACTTCATAGCATCCTAAACATTTTCCCAGGTCAATATTGTTCAAAAGCATATATATTTACAATATCCAGGACATGGAATCAACCTAAAAGTCCATCATCGCAGGAATGGATGAAGAAGATGTGGTACATATGTACGACTGAATATTACTCAGACATAAAAAGACTTCCCTGGTGACTCGGATGGTAAAGAATTTGCTTGCAGCGCAGAAGACCCTTGTTTGATCCCTGGGTTGAAAAGATCCCCTGTAGGAGGAAAGGGCAATCCACTCCAGTGTACTTGCCTGGAGAATTCCATGGACAGAGGAGTCTGGCAGGTTATAGTTCATGGGGTTGCAAAAAGTCAGACACAACTGAGCAACTAACACTAATACTTTCAGCCATAAAAAGGATCAAAACTGCTAGTTGCAAAGACTTGGATGGACCTAGAGGGCGTCATACAGAGTAAATAAGGTCAGAAGAATGAATATCACATACTAATACATACATGTGGAATCTAGAAAAATGGTACAGATGAACCTATCTGCAAAGCAGAAATTGACACAGATGTAAAAACAAATGTACAGACACCAAGAGGGGAAGGGAGAGTGGGATGAATTTGGAGATTGGGATTGACATAAACACGCTACTGGGTATAAAATAGATACCTAATGAGAACGTCCTACTGTACAGCACAGGGAACTCTACTCAATGCTCTATGGTGACAAAGAGGTGATATATGTATATGTATTCACTCTGCTCTACAACAGACAGTAACACAACACTGTAGCAAGTAAACGCCAATAATTTTTTCTTTTTTAAAGCCTGTGTAATGTCTCACAGGGCTTCCCTGGTGGCTTGGTGGTAAAGAAATATGCCAGCCAATGCAGGTGACACATATTCGATCCCTGGGTTTGGAAGATCCCTTTGAGAAGGAAATGGCAACCCATTCCAGTATCCTTGCCTGGGAAATCCCATGGACAGAGGAGCCTGATGGGCTCATGGGTTCATGGGGTGGTGAAAGAGTTAGACACAACTTAACGACTGAACAGTAACAACTGACATGTTAGTGGAATTGGTGTAGTTTGGTGGTTAGCACTGTGGTGCTTGGGTAGTCTCTGACACTGTGAACCTGGCTCTGCCAATTACTACGTGACCTTTGAAGTGACTCAATTTCTCTGTTGTACAATCCGTATCTGTAAAGTGGGTTAATAACAGGGACTGTAGCAATGAAATTAAAGGATTCTTGCTTCCTGGAAGGAAAGCTATGACAAACCTAGACAGTGGGTTAAAAAGCAGAGATAACACTTTTTCAACAAACGTCTATATAGCCAAAGCTATCGTTTTTCCAGTAGTCATGTGCGGATGTGCGAGTTGGACTATAAAGATGGCTGAGGACGCTTTTGACTTATGGTGCTGAATATGAATTGAGAGTCCCTTGGACTGCAAGGAGATCAACCCTGAATATTCACTGGAAGGACTGATGCTGAATATGGAATACTCCAATACTTTAACCACCTGATGGGAAGAGCCGACTCATTGCAAGAGACCCTGATGCTGGGAAAGATTCAGAAGTGACTCAGCAACTGAACAGAACAGAACCTTAAATGGTTCAGTTCAGTCGCTCAGTCGTGTCCTACTCTGTGACCCCATGGACCACAGCACGCCAGGCCTCCCTGTCCATCACCAGCTCCCGATGCTTGCTCAAACGCATATCATATCGTCCAGTCGGTGATGCCATCCAACCATCTCATCCTCTGACCTGCCCTTCTCCTCCCGCCTTCAATCTTTCCCAGCATCAGGGAAATGAGCCTTTAAATGGGTTATGGCAATACAATGAACTGACATGTAAGTCCCTCAGAACACGTCCTGGTACAACGTCAGGGTCAACCCCTGTTTGGCCCAGGCTAGGCAGGTGCTCTGAAGCTTGACTAGTTTTCAGCTCAGGCTGCATTTCCGAAACCTTGGACGTCTCGAAGGCTCCCTCCTACCTTGACTGGAACTTCCCGAGGCCTCTTTTGTGAGCGAGACCCGCCACCTGGCGGCCTCAGTTCCGAAACGCTGCCGCGCACAGAGGGGCCGTCGCCTCCCGCGCCCCACTGCAATCACCGCCCCGCGCCCCGCGCCCCGCGGCCTCCTTCCGCAGACGCCGAGAGTTCCCGGGTGCGCGTGCGCAAGGCGTACGTCCCGGCTCGACGAGGATGCCCTGCGGGCGCTCGGCGCGCACGGAGTGTGCGTAAGGGGCGCGCTGGACGCACACCCGTGCCCGCGGGGCCCGCCGGCCAGGAGAAAAGCGGGCTGCCCCGCGGTACGCAGGCCTTTTAGCCGCCGCCTCTGTTAACGGTGAGTTGGGCCGCCCGCTCGCCGGGCTTTCTGAGAGCATCACCCAAGGTCCCAGCCTGGAGCCGGTGCTGACCCGGTGCCGACCGCTCAGACCGACGCACACATAGTGCAGCAGTGAGTGTGAAAGTCGTTCGGTCGTGTGCGACTCTGCGACTGTGTAGTCCGTGGCATTCTCCAGGCCAGAACACTGGAGTGAGAAGCTTATCCCTTCTCCAGGGGGTCTTCCCGACCCAGGGATCGAACCCAGGTCTCCCGCATTGCAGGCGGATTCTTTACCAACTGAGCCACAAGGGAAGCCCAAACTCATCTGGCAGCGGTGGGATTCGAACTGAGACCCGTAGAGACTGGAGCTTTAATCCAGCGCTTTATCACGGCCATGCCAAGTAGTGTAGTACCTGGGGCAGAAATCCAGAGGCCCCGCCCCCACTGAGCATGCGCGAGCCTGGGCTGGGCGGGCGCCTCAGTCCAGCCATTTCCGCTTCCGGTCCTGTACGAATTCTCCCGCCATGTGAGAAAAGCGGTTGTCGCGCCGTGTGTCTGTGTTTGGTGTAGTTGCAGGTGAGAGAAGCTGTCGGGGTTTGCAAAGAACAGTAACCCTGGCGTTGAGGCGTGCGAGCCTAGAGAAGAGCGGAGCGCGCGAGTCCGTTCTGGTAGCTTGTATAGGCGGAGGCGGGTGCCGGGGCTGACAGACCGCGCTGCGTGAGGGGTGCGCGGAGGCGGCGTGTCACTCGGCGCCGCTGGACCCTCCGGCGACGGGCTCCGACGGGCGGCGCCTGAGAGACAGCTGTCAGTTTTCAGGGGTTGTCAGGGAGGAAGCCCGCGGAGTCGCGTTCCTAGCCTGAAGCTCCCGCGCTTTCCTCCGAGTTCGGGGTCGCAGCCCTCGGGCAATCTCACCCTGACCCTGGAGAGCTCCGAGCCTTCAGGGCGGAGTGCTCAGATGCCTGGAGAACAGCCCGCATCCTCTGCTGTGGACGTTGCGGGAAGTCAGGACCGCTGCCCGCGTCTCCGTAGCGCTCACCTCTCCCCACTGCCTGTGCACCGCGGTTCTAGCGGTGTTATCGAAGGTCTGGAAGACAGGGACACGACTCTTAACATGTTGTGCGTGCTCTTCAGAATCAGTTTTGTTTTCCTTTGTGTGTGGAGTTATTTTTTGTTTTTAACTCCATTTCCCACCATTTTTTGTGCTTGCTTTCAGGGTAACAAGATGGAGTTTTCTGGAGTAAAACGGAGGAAACCGAGGTTGGCAGATGACCAGAGGAATGCTTGCTACCCACATAGCCTTCAGTTTTACTTGCAGCCACCTTCTGGAAATGTATCTTTGACAGAATTTGAAACGTTGGCTATCGATAGAGTTAAATGTGAGTGATTTGAATTTGAATTTACGTATTCCTGAGAACCTCACTTATACCTTGTAGAGATAGAGTAATTTATTTGCTTCTTTAAACTTATATTTGCTGAGGTTTTTCGTTGAGATTTAGCGGTTCATTTATTTTTTCCATGTACTGTGCGTATTTATTGAGTGCCACTTTATTCTAGGCGGTAGGGATTTTGAGCTGAGTAATGAAATTGTCATCTTTGTTGAAGCTGTATTCTAATACATGGAGACAGATGTCCAAAGCAGTAATTATAGTTTAGTATTTTAAGTGCTCTAATAGAGGTGTTATTGAAACATAGAGATGGGAATGATTGATTTAGTCTGATAAAGTAAAACTTCTTAAGAGAAGTTGAATTGTGACCTGGATCTTGAAGGAGGAGTAGCAGTTTCTCAATAGAGAGGAAGGGAGGGGTTTTTGCAAGCTGAGATAATAATCTGAAGCAAGAGTTGGAAGCACCAGAGAGAGTGTCACACTGGAGGGGAAGGTGGCAAGTTCAGGGTGAATGGAGAGCTGTGGGTAACCAAGGGTGTTTTGTACCACGCTAATGCTGTGATATTGGGGTGTAAGAAGGATGTAGCAGTTTTCTTGAGCCTGCTTGTCTTCTCTGTGTTGGTGGAAGAAAGAAATAAGTTCGGTGTCACCTGCAACAATAGCACTGCCTGCAGAGTTTATATTCCAGAGTGTATCCTGATGGGAAGATCAAAAGTAGAGGTGAGGCACTGTTAGTCATTCTTAGAGGAGCTGGTGAGAGTTGCTAGTGCAGAGTACCTGTATTATCTGTTTGCTGAATGAAAGAGTAAAGGACAGGGAGAACGGGTTCTGGGAAGCTTAGCACGGGTTCTGGGATGGCTCATAGAGGTTAAGACCATGGTTGAAAAGGGTCCCTTCGATTTGGTCCTGGAGGTGAGATGGTAAGGCAGGGACAGGAAAGGAGAGATTGAAGGGATACCAAGGAGGTGTAAGTGACAGGGTTTGATGACTACTTGGGTGTGAGGAACGGGGGATCGGTTGGGGAGGGCTGAAGTTCCAGGGTGGCTGATCTGGTGGGCAGAAATGCTGCTGTTAGAGGTGGGTGGCAGGAAGAGGAGCAGAGAATGAGTTTGGTTTGGGAGACCATAATATGGAGGTCCCTGCTGGACATGGCTTTATCTTCAGGATTCATTTCAGAAGTTTTTCATTCTCAAATTAACCTCTCTTTTCCTACCAATGGAAGAAGAAATCATCTGAGGAAGGGTTGACAGGGGCTTCAGGAGCCTTTGGACAGAGCGAAGCATCTAGTCAGAGTGGCTCGTTTGCTTCTTTACTGCTGTCTTCTCCTTCTCTGCTTCATCAGGAAGGGGCGGGCTGTCTTCTGAAGAATCTGTGCTGAGTTGGTGAAGCAGCCGCCTCACAACCGGCTCCGCACGAGGGATGGGTGTGCACGCTGACACACTTATGCATCCCTCAGCAGTGATGCTCAGTACATCAGTGATTGTCCCCATCCCTCTCTCCCTTCCGGTTGAGAATCCCTGGTATGAGGTTATGCTGTGGGATGTGGTTATTTTCTGCATGTGGTTGGAGGTTATCCTCTTATAAGCATATATAACCTATATAATGTGCTTGCAGAAAATGACGCATAAGTATTGTCATAAAAAGTAATTATGGAATTGCTATCCATCGATTTGTCTTGGATTTAGTTTTTTAAGATTACCTTGCATTTATACATTTTTCCCCCCTTCTGTTTTTCAAATTTTTTCTAGTGCTAAAATCAGTTGAGAACCTTGGTGTGAGCTACGTGAAGGGAACTGAACAGTATCAGAGTAAGCTGGAGGCTGAGCTTCGGAAGCTCAAATTTTCCTACAGAGTAAGTAAAAGAGGGACAGAGATGGTTCTCCAGTTTGTGTATGTACTGGTAGTAACCATGGGAAAGGTCTTGTATTATGCATAGGGCTTTAAAAAAGACTCTTCCTGAAGGAACCTCTCCACCACGAGGGATGATTGACATGCAGTCAAACTCCAGTGCGGCAGGGTGTCTCCACCTTGGGAATGTGGACATTCGGGACCTGATGATTCCATGGTGCTTTTAGGGGAGTCACTGGCATCTCTGGCTTCTGGGCTGTGTTTCCAGATATTGCCAGATGTGTCCTGTGCAGTCAAGGAGACAAATGCTGTTCTTTGATGTGTGCTCCTGGAACTCTCTTTTGCTCTCTTGGTGGCTCAGTGGTAAAGAATCTACCTGCCAATGCAGGAGTTGTGGGTTCTATCCCTGGGTGGGGAAGAGCCCGTGGAGATGGAAGTGGAAACCCACTCCAGTATTCTTGCCTGGGAAATCCCATGGACAGAGGAGCTTGGTGGGCTACAGTCCATGGGATTGTGAAAGAGTGGGACATGACTTAACGACTAAATAACAACGAGGAACTCCAAAGGCACAGAGAATTAGCTCAGGTTGGGGAGGGCTTCCCGGATGAGATAGTGCTGGGACTGAATCTCAATGGATGTGATCTCATTTTTATTTTGAGAAGATGAATGTCAACAGCAGATGGACAGGGTCATTATCTGTTGGGGAACACCAGTCAGGATCTTGGAGACAACAAGTAAATTGAATGCAGTGAAGAGGACTGATTCAAGAGATAGTGAGAAGATGGAATCATAAGATTATAGAAATTGAGTACAAGGAGGAGGGACAGAAGAGTTCTGAATGACACTCGGGTTTCTGGTGAGGACAGCTGGGTGAATGGTGGGATATATAGGAGAGGAGGCAAGTCTTACTAGAAAGAAGACAGTTTAGTTCTCATTGTAACTGAGGTGCATGTGGAGCTATCTCGAGGGCTTCAGGGTGTGCAACAGATCTGGACTTGTAGACAGAGGCAGAAGGTGGAACAGTGGTAGTGTTTGGAGGAGAGAGGTGAGAGGTGAGTGTGGAATATTTCCTTTTCTAACATGTTTAGCTGAAAAGATGGGGGAGGTGGGTCTGAGTGTAGGAAAATGCGAGGGGAAAAGATACATACACATGACAGCATATGTTTGAAATGTATTTATAAGTTGAGCAGAAAGATCTGGAAGAGAAGAGAGGGCGATTGTAGATACTTTGGGAGAACTTTTATTAGTCACGGTCCTTAGGAGGCAGGAGCAGGTGGGCTGCGGAGTTTCCGTGTGGGATCAGCTGTGAGTAGGAGGGGAGAGAGAGATCTGTCAGTAGGGATAGTGGGGAAGGCAGTACCACACGCAGTGGCAGGAGTTTGGGCTGAGGAGTTGGCCTGAGGCCTTTGCTTTTTGTAAAGTAGGTGAGGTCCTGTGATGAGAAGAGGGGACGGTGGTGTATTGGGGAGCACTGGCCACCTAGTGAAGATCAAAACAGTTGTCCTGAGATGGGGGAAGGAATGGTTATGGGGCCAGATCCCAGCTTTGCTGCTTACAGGCTTGTGATCTGGAACAAAGTCAGTTTCCTCATCTTTAAAATAGGAATATAGAGGTGCCCTCCTCATAGGGGCTTTCAAAGGATTATGTGGGTTAATGGATTAAAAACGCTTATAACAGTGCCTGGTACATTGGGAGTGCTCAGGACATGTTTGCTCTGACTGTTGAACTTGAGGAAGGATTCCTTGGTGTTACTTGTTTGACTTAGTATGACTAGAATGCTAGATTTCTAATTAAAAAGTAGATATGCAACAAGCAACAAAGTTTTATGTATAGCATAGAAAACTATAGTTAATATCTTGTAATAACATATGATGGAAAATAATTTCAAAAATAATATATGTATATTTGTGTAACTAAATCACCTTGCTGTGCACTTGAAATGTTGTAAGTCAACTGTACTTCAATAAGACATATATATTAAAAAAAAAAGATTCCTGGGTGTTGATAAAGGTCCAGTTGGGGTTTGTTGTTGTTCAGTCGCTCAGTCATGTCCAACTCTTTGTGACCAGTTGAGGGTAGAGACTGTGAATTTTTAATGTTCCAAATTCCTATAATTGTATATTTTTTCCCCAGAAGTTTTCAGCATTTTGGGAACAGGACTGCAGAGTATAGACCTGTGGATTTGTTTAGAATCTAGGTTTTGCCAAATGGTTGAAATGAAAATAGTTGAGGGTTTATCTGGGAAGTGGTGGAAGAGGTGAGTGGCTGGGTGTAGGCTGAACGAGAAGGAAAGTTAGAGGAGGAAGAAAATAGTGGGATCCAAACCCAGGAGGTGGTGTTGTTCAGTTGTGTTTCACCCAGTTGTCAACCTAAGTAAAATGATACTCATCCTGGGGAGCATATTATGAAATCTGTGTTATTGAACTTCTGCTTCACCATTGACTTATGCTGACTCAGTAATTCTTTATACCTTTCACTGTTCTGCATTTATTTTCTTCATTTGCCATTGTTTTTCAGGAAAGCTTGGAAGATGAATACGAACCTCGGAGAAAAGATCACATTTCTCACTTTATTTTGCGCCTTGCTTACTGCCAGTCGTGAGTATACCTTTGTCTTCTGCAGTCAAATCTGACGTCTTGGGCTATAAACTGGTGCAGGAGGGCTGACAGGTATTGTACCCATCGTAGGAAATCCCAGGATGACATCAGAAACCAGTGGTTCATGGGCTGAATGCTATTGCAGTGAATTGTTTGAAACAAGTTGTTGACTAAAAAAATAAAAAAAATATTTTTGCAGATTTTGCCTATTAAAACGTTTTTTACTTTATGGGAGGGATTCTTCATTTAGGATTTAAAATTAGAGGTGATTTCATTAGGAAGAAGGATTTTGGAATCAAACACACACTTGAATCTGCACAGGTTTTAGCAGTTGACTTGTATGAGCTGGTGTCCATTAGATTAAGATCTTTTCCTTTGGTAGTTTCTTAGACGTCAGTAGTGCCACCCAGAGGAAGGAGTTAGTTGCTTTTTTTTTTTTTTACTGTGTTTTTTCTTATATTTATTTTGGCTACATTGCATACTTACTATGTTTCTTTTCTGTTTCTTTTTTGGCAATAGACTTATCAAATGGGAATCTTGAATTATTTACTATCCCAAGATAATGACTGAGAAATTATTGACCAGCTTTGGTCCTAGAGTTTTTCTTTTGTTAAAAAAGCATATGCAGGTTATGCAATTTATGCAATAAGTGAATTGCTGACAATGTGCAAGTCATTTGAGGAAAGAAATCATATTTTACCTGGAGTAGCTTAATTATTTTATAACAACAATAATGCCCATCTGTCTTATAAATTAATGTTATATATCGACTTTTGGGGCTTCTCTGGTGGCTCAGTGGTAAAGAATTCTCCTGCCAGTGTAGGAGATGTGGATTTGATCCCTGGATGGGGAAGATCCCCTGGAGAAGGAAATGGCAACCCACTCCAGTATTATTGCCTGGAAAAATCCCATCGAGAGAGGAACCTGGTAGGCCGCAGTCCATGGGTTGCGAAAGAGTGGGACACGACTTAGTGACTAAACAGTAACAAATGTTGACTTTTAAAAAATTGAGGTATCTTAATGCATATTAAATTTTGTGAAGTTAAACTCTAAAGCTATAAGCAAAGTTTACTTTGCAGAGTTTATCTGATCATAATCTATTCAGAGGTAAAATTACCTTTAAAAACTTTTGATGTTTATTTGGCATTAACAGGAGGGATACTCCATTTTCTGATGTAAACAAATACTTTGCAGTTAGGTTAAACGAAGTGTACTATTTTATGTTATTTGATGATAATGCAGCTAGACTCTGTAATTAATTCTTTTAATTATGTTCAAAACATCTTTCTTCCCCATATTCTACTCAGTCCTGGGAGACTGTGGCATGTCACCTGTATTCACACTCTTACTATTTAGAGAGCTTGATGCTGTTAATGAACTTCAGTCTGTTGGCCTCTTGGTCACCTTTAAATGTTGCTTCATACAAATTTCTTGGGTTTAATAATCACTGGACTTTTAAAATTGTCTTTGAACTTTTCACTTACAGTTTTCTTGTCTCTGTTTTAGTGAAGATCTTAGGCGCTGGTTTATTCAACAAGAAATGGATCTCCTTCGATTTCGATTCAGTATTTTACCCAAGGACAAAATTCAGAGTTTCTTAAAGGATAGCCATTTACAGTTTGAGGCTGTAAGTATATTTTTATAGTCTTTCCAGTTGTTGTCACCTCCGTTGACCTTCAGTGCTGGTGTTAATATGTGGAGTTTGTTCTCTTTACATTTTCTTCCGGAGGACTTGCCTGAAAAAACAGCTGCTGGCTTCGCACAAAGTGAACCTTTCTCTTCCATGACTAGAAGAAAAGGGGCTCCTTAGTATCAGAGTGTCACGTTTATTTAGTTACTGTATTAAGTATGTGATTTATGAAAGCACAAAAAGGTTTAATTTATAAAAGTTCATCTTTAACCAGAATCTTCTAGGCCAAAAATTTAAAGCTCGTAATATTCCAAAGAAAACAGAGAAGTGGTAGTGCTTATTTCCAGCAGTGAGGTTTAGGGTGGATAATACTTTATTTTAGAAGTCATTGTCAGCAAAATCTCTGAATAGTTCTAAGGTATAATTTTGTAGACAGATCTGAATGAGTTACATGTAGGAATTATAAAAGAAGAAATGTTGGGTATATTTTTAGCAAGGATAATTATTGTGGATAGAAACAGAATTTATGTCTTTTAGGTGGGCCTGTGCTGCAGTGGGAAGAAAGAAAAATTCTGTTTTGGGAAACTTAGAGCAGTCAGATGGAAGTAGGATGGTCAGGACTGTATTTGGGCATTAGAATGGGTGACTCCAGGCCAAATAAAGTAAAGAAGTAGAATTTGGAGTAACTGAAGGAACTGTCCTGCTGAGACATGGATGTGCCCACTGCAGCAAGAACCAGTGTGGCTTCCTGCTTTGGGGGGAAGGCGATGTGTGAAGAGAAATGCATAAGCCTTTGGTGGACATCCAGTGTGTCACCTGTGAGCAAGGCGCTGTCCAACGTTTCACTCGCTTCTGAGAAGCCGTGGGACAGAGAAGAGTGCTCTGCTCAGACAGAGAAGAGTGTCGGTCCCAGTACCGTCTCACCCAAAGCCCACGCGCTCTCCACTCTGCTTAGAGCTCTGATCTTCAGTGAAGTCTGTTACTGCGAATATCAGTTACAGTTCATTGATCTTCTCATATTAAAAAGTTTTTTTTTTTTTTTGCTGTTGAAATTATGGTTTTAGTAGGTCATAGAGAAGAAGTATTTTTGAGATTGTGTTTATTCTAGATTGTCTTAATAGGTCAGGTAGAATTTTTTGTTTGTTTTTTTAAAAAACTTTTTTACTGAAGTATAACATACACAGAAAACTGCACAAGTCATAACTGTCTAGCTCCATGAAGTATCATAAAGGTTAAGGAAGAGAACCTTGCGGTCACCTGGTGTTGCCTCGTGTCTCCTTGCATTTACCACCCCATCTCTGATAATCACTGTCCTGACTCTTAATATCATGAATGATTCTGCCTGTCTTTGAACTTTGTGTAAGTAGTATTACGTGGTGTGTATTTGGGCATTAGAATGGGTGACTCCAGGCCAAATAAAGTAAAAAAGTAGAAATAGGAGTACGTGAAGGAATTATCCTACTGAGAAGTGGATGTGCCCACTGCAGCAAGAACCAGTGTGGCTTCCTGCCTTATGTAAATAGTATTAATGGTGTGTCTTTTTTCCCCCAGCTTTATTGAGATATGATGATATATTAATGTTGTGTTAGTTTAAGGTACACAGTGTGATGATCTGATATATGTATATGTTGTGAAATGTTTACCGCTATAAAGATAGTTAACAGATCCTTACATAGCATATTATGTGAGGTCAGTTCAGTTCAGTTGCTCAGTTGTATCTGACTTTGCAACCTCATGAACTGCAGCACATGAGGCTTCTCTGTCTCTCACCAACTCCTGGAGCTTGCTCAAACTCTTGTCCATCAAGTCGGTGATGCCATCCAACCATCTTATCCTCTGTCATCCCCTGCTCCTCCCACCTTCAATCTTTCCCAGCATCAGGTCTTTTCCAGTGAGTCAGTTCTTCGCATCAGGTGGCCAAAGTATTGGAGCTTCAGCTTCAGCATCAGTCCTTCCAGTGAATACTCAGGACTGATTTCCTTTAGGATGGACTGGTTGGATCTCCTTGCTGTTCAAGGGACTCTCAAGAGTCTTCTCCAACACCACAGTTCAAAAGCATCAATTCTTCGGTGCTCAGCAATCTCACATAATTACTCTTTCGTTGTGGTGGTAGTGAGAACGTTTAGAATCCACTCATAGCCATGTTCATGTACGCAGTGCAGAACTCTTAGCTGCAGCCCCATGCTATCATGAGATCTCTGGAGCCCATTTCTCCTGTAACTGGATGTTTGTGCCCTTCCACCAGTATCTTCTCATCTTCTCTGCTGTCCAGCCCCTGGCAGCCACCGTCCTATTCTGTTTCTGGGTTCAGCTTTTTTAGATCCCACACATAAGTGAGATCACAAGTATACTTTTTTATAATTGCTTTACTGAGATAGAGTTTTCATACCTTGAACTTCACTCTTAAAGTGTGCGATTTGTTGGCTTTTTAGTATGATCATAGAGTTGGATCACCATCTAATTTTAGAACATTTTCATTACCCTAAAAACGAGAGCTGTGCCCGCTAGTTGTCATTCTCAGTTTGTCACTCTGTCATCTCTTGGCAACAACTAATCTGCTGTCTTTGTGAGTTTGCCTATTCTGGGCATTTTGTATAAATGGACATTTCATATAACTTGTGGTCTTTTGTTACTGGCTTCTTTCACTTAGCATAATATTTTCAGGTTTCATCTGTGTTGTATATGTGAATGGGCATAGCATAATATTTCCAGGTTTCATCTGTGTTGTATATATAGCACATATCAGTACTTCATTCATTTTACAGTCATTTCTTTTTTCAGAAGTTGATGGGCATTGGATTATTTCAACATTTTAGCTATGATGAATAATGCTGCAATGAATATTTGCTTACACATTTCTGTGTGGATATCTTTTTATTTATTCCAGATATACACCTGGGAGTGGGATTGTTAGGTCATAGAGTAATTTTATATTTAAACTTTTGAAGAACTCCCAAACTTTTCTGGAGAGGCTGCATCGTTGTACATCTCACTAGTTTGTTAGGGTTCTAGTTTCTTTACGTTCTATAGCAGTTGCTTCTGTCTTTTTTTTTGATTATAGTCATCCTGGTGGGTGTGAAGTGATATGTCATTGTGGTTTTGATTTTCATCTGTGGCTGATTTCATAGTGACTGATGAGGTTAGCATCTTTTCATGTACTTATTGGTTGTTTGTATATTTTGTTTGGAGAAATGTTTGTTTGTATCCTTTGTCCATTTTTTATTAAATTGTCTTTTTATGGTTTACTGTTACATATTCTTTACATATTCTGAATACACAGCCACTATAAGGTCTAATTCTATGAATTAGAAATCTTTTTCTTCCACTCTGAGGATTGTCATTTTTTAAAAAAATTATTTATTTATGGTTGCACTGGGTCTTCATGGCTGTATGTGGGCTTTCTCTAGTTGCAGTGAGCAGGGGCTACTACTCTTCATTATTGCAGTGTGTGGGTTTCTTGTTAGAGTGGCTTCTCTTGCTGCAGAGCAGAAGCTCTAGGCATGTGGATTTCAGTACTTGTGGCACACAGGCTCAGTAGTTGCTTGCAGACACAGCTTGTGGACTCTAAAGTGCTGGTTTCAATAGTTGTAGCACACGGGCTTAGTTGCTCCTTGCCGTGTAGAATCTTCCACGATCAGGGATTGGACCCATGTCCCTGCATTGCCAGGCTAATTCTTTATCACTGAATCACCACAGAAGTCCTTGTCATTTCGTTTTGTGTTAGGATCATTTGCAACATGAAAGTTTTTAATGTAGATGAAGTGTAAGTTGTGTTTTTCCTTTTGTTATTTGTGTTTTTGTTGTTGGCTCTGAGAAGGATTTGCCTAACAGATGGTCATGAAGATTTATGCCTATGGTTTTCTCTAAGAGTTTTATAGTTTTTGTCCTTTTTAGGTCTGTTTAGGTCTGTTTACATTTTAAGTTGATTTTTGTGTATGGTGTAAAGTAGGGAGGGGCCCAGCTTCATTGTTTTGCATGTGGATATAAAGTTGACCTAGCATCATTTGTTGAAATGGCTATTCTTACCTCTTTGAATCGTCTTTTCACTCTTGTCAAAAGTCATTTGGCCATAAATTAGTTTATTTCTGGACTCAGTTTTATTAGCGCTGTGTGACAGGAGCCTGGCAGTCCATGGAGTTGCAGAGTTGAACGTGACTAAGTGACTTGGCACCCACGTGTTTCTCCGTATGTCAGTACTATGTGGTCTTAAATATTGATTTCTCTAGTTTTGTGATATGATTTCAAATTCAGTAGCATGCATTTTCTCACTTCGTTCTTCTTTCAAGGTTATTTTCACTATTCTGGGTTCTTTATATTTTATGAATTTTAGGATCAGGTTGTTAGTTTCTACCGACCAGCTGGGGTTCAGGTTGGGATTATGAGGTCTATGAAGATCCATTTGGACAGTATTGCCGTCTTAATCCCTTAGGATAGGAAATGGCAACCCATTCCAATATTCTTGCCTGGAAAATCCCATGGACAGAGGAGCCTGGTGGGGTCCATGGGGATTGCAAAGAGTCGGACGTGACTGAGCGAATAGGCGTGCATGTGTGCTGTCTTTTAAATATTAAGTCTTCTGATCAATGAACATGGGAATTTTTTTCTGTTTCTTGAGGGCTTTAATTTTTTTTAACAAAATTATGTACTTATTTATACCTCAGTATTTTATTCTTTACTGTCATTGTAGATATAGCTGCTTCTTTCATTTTTGAAATGTTCATTGCTAGCATATGGAAATCCAGTTGATTTTTGTATATTGATTTGGTATCCTGTGCCCTTACAAAACCATTTATTCTGACAGTTTTTAGTGGATTCCTTAGAAGGTTGGCTCTTATAAAGAAACAATCCTTAGTTTTCAATCTGGATGCTTTTTATTTACTTTTGCCTTATATCGTTAGCTAGCATTTCTAGTACAGTGTTGAATAGAAGTGACAGTAGTGGAATTACTTGTCTTGTGCCTGATTTTAGGGTGAAAGCGTTTAGTCTGTTACTAAGAT